ATGTTTCCTACTAATTTCGCGATTAGGTTTCGCGTTTTAGTAATGTTTTATTGATGGCAGATAAGTTCACATAGGCAAAGCCACAAAAAAAAGGCTAGTATTTTAACACAGTCTGCCAAATCGTTAGAATGGGGCATAAATCATCCGAATCCTTTAATGCCAGCTGTTCACCTTCACGCGTGACATTTCGGCCATCCTTTTGCACCATTTAAGTTATTTATCGTCAGTCCAGTTGCTGTTGCGGTTTGTTTTGCAGTTTAATTTTATGACCATAACTGATGGGTATTTATTTGTGGGTGGACTTGGTTTTGATCGTGTTGTACACATTTTTTATTGTCAAAGGATTTTTATTGGGCGTACCGCGACGTGAAATCTAAACTCGCTTCCACCTTCGGCCTGATCATCACTTACCATCAGGTGAGATACAGGCCAAGAGCTTTCTCGTTGTGGATAAAAAAAACTATTTTGTAACTTTTTATGTCTCTATTCTATGAATATGAACAATTAAGTATTCCAAAGTACCTATTTTAAATGTTTCTTTTCAATGAATATCAAGAATGATGTCACTATTTTAAGCAATTACATTATCTATTTTTCTTATCAGAAGCATAGATGTACATAGTATACTTACTCGAACTTCAGAAACGATAGGTTTTCCAACAAACTTTCAATTCCTATTTAGTATTAAAAAACTCATAACACTCATTTATTTCTGTAAATAGGCTTAAAAAAAGCACTTTTACACGTCCCAGTATTAACCCTACCACTGCTTCAGGACAATAAATGGGCCAGTGCTGAGAAGAAGCAGCGCTAGAAACTCGGTCACTATTGTCAGCCATTCGCACCTTCCTACGAGCGCAGGTCAAATCTAATTCATTCTAATCTAAAAAGCTTCGTGCGAAATGTAACAGACATACAAATAATGTCAATATTAGCATGACTTTGACTTTGACCCATTAGATTCGAGTAAACTCAAATAGTAACACCCTATATATCTTACGCCAAGTGCAATTCAATTACTCTAACCACCTCATTCAGTGTTTGAGTAAACTCGTAAAAACCGTAATAAATAACGTAAAAGTCAGCCATTGAGTGCTCGGGCGGGCGGTATGATTCAACACTTGCGTATTTACATAGTGCGCCACAGTGCATAGGGGAGCAGTAGGTCGTTTGCGTTTTAACATTGTTTTATTGCCAAAAAATAATTTCTTAATTAGATATTTGTTCTGTTCCTACTGATTTGTATAAGCGAAGTCTGTTCGTTCGTTCGTTCGTTTCAGCCAAATGACGTCCACTGCTGGACAAAGGCCTCCTCCAAGGTTTTCCACAATACGAAATTCCATAAAGCGAAGTCTGTATTATCGGCTAAAGTTTTAAGTAAATCCTACCTACATCCTTGTCTTGACATTTGAATTGGTAAAAAAGCTGTTTAAAAAAAGTTACCTCCTTTCTCTTCCTCCTTCCTTTGAAATTTATTTCCGTTTGCCTCAAGGTCATTAAAAATTTCTGTTTAGCACAATAGTTCACTAGAAAAGAATGTATGAATGTGTTGGTATTATTGCGTGTAGTGGGAGATGTTTCTTAATAAAACTCGGATTGCAGAATGGTAAAATCTTATTGTATTCGCACCCTTTATATATATTTCCTAGTACATAAAAATAATAACAATGGGTAGATTATTTACTAGACTACCTAACACAATTTTAGACTAAGTAAGACGGCTATACTAATGCTGTCCTTGTCATCGCACAAAATAATATTCAACCGCCCGCTACTCCGGAGGAATGAGTAGGACGGCATGCGCGCTGTCTCTGTCGCGCACTCGCGGCGCGGGCGCAATCAAATGTAGGTCAAATTCTTTCAGCAGTGGCACGGCGGCGAGCCGAGCGGGCGGTCGCCGCGTCTCGATGTGCGGTGTATGTGTCCCCACAGGTACCCCCCGTCAGGAAAACCGTACATTTCTTGTAGGTTTGACTATCCTGCCGGAACGGGTTACGTATTGAGGATCTTGTGGCAGTACTTCACAGGGCATCACGAAGGCGGGCTTCAGTCTATCTAGTGATTTATGTTCGCTTCACGTTTCGGTAGTTTTATCTTGAAGTGTTTGTCGTGTTTTTCTATAACTTCAAACGGGCCTTCATACGGTGGTGTTAGTGATTTGCGAGTTGCATCTGTGCGTATAAATACTTGTTTGCAGGTTGACAGCTGATCGGGAACGAAGCTTGTGCGTTGTTGTTGAGTTGAAAACGTTGAATAGTTTAGTGATGACATTGTTTCTGTGAGTTTGCGTATTATTTCCGGGTCTTCATTGTTACTTGTAGATGTTGTAGGTGTGAAAAAGTCGGCAGGTAGTCGCATTGAGGTTCCGTAGGTCATCATAGCGGCACTATAGTTGGTTTGTCTATGTATTGCATTGCGTAATCCTAGCAATACTGAAGATAACTCTTGCGTCCATTGATTTCTATTGCCTCTTGCAATTAGGGCGGCTTTCAGTGATCGATGCCAGCGTTCTACGATGCCATTGGACTGTGGATGATAGGCGGTAGTCCTTAATCTTTCGACTCCGAGCTTTTTTGTGAGTTTTTCGAATAAAGCTGATTCGAATTGCCTTCCTTGGTCGGTGGTTATGCGTAGTGGGCAACCAAATCTTGCGATCCAACCGTCGTAAAAGACTCTGGCTATTGTGTCTGCACTTATATCGTTGACAGGTATTGCTTCAGGCCATCTAGTGCAGCGATCGATCATAGTAACAATGTAGCGGTGTCCTTCTGATGGTGTCAATGGGCCGACGATGTCCATGTGTACGTGTTCAAATCGGCTTGATGTAGGAAATTGTACGAGTGGTGTTACTGTATGGCGACTCACTTTTGCTCGCTGACAAGGTAAGCAGCATCTAGTCCATGTTGATATGTCTTTGTTCATGCTAGGCCAGAAGTACTTCTCGGTAACCATTTTTCTTGTTGTGCGTATTCCTGGATGACTCAGCTCATGTAACGCTTTATAGGCAGTTTCACGAAGGCTTGGCGGTAGGTAGGGACGCGGTGTCTTTGTAGTTACTTCGCAGTAGATAGGTTTCTTTAGGCCGGGTAGTGTAATCGTAGTAAAACTGAGATGCGGCTTTTGTAACAGTTGTTTCAGCTCTTGATCTTGCGCTTGTTTTTCAGCCAACTCGTTGTAGTCGATGATAGTAGGACAATCGATTGATGAAATGCGTGATAGTGCATCAGCCACAGTATTGTCTTCGCCATTTATGTATTCTATTCTTGTGCAGAATTGACTGATGAAAAGTAGCTGTCTCTCTCGTCTAGGTGTGTCATTTGCAGTTGTTGGCTTCATCAAGGCGTAAGTTAGAGGCCTGTGGTCTGTATAGACAGTGACGTCGTTGCCTTCAATCAATCTTCTAAAGTGCTTAATAGACATATAGATCGCTAATAGTTCACGATCGTATACGCTATATCTCTTCTGTGTGTCACTCAGCTTCTTTGAGAAAAAAGATAGTGGTCTCCACACGTTGTCTATCTTTTGTTGTAGTACTGCGCCAACACTTACGTCTGACGCGTCTGTCATGATGCATAGCGGTGCGCCTGAGACGGGATGAGTCAAAACCGTGGCGTTAGAGATGCTTTGGCGGCATTTCTCGAACGTTTCTTCAAGGCTTGGCGTCCATTGAATAGGCGATTTGTCTTTTTTCTTCTTATTGTGAAGTAGCTTGTTCAAGTCGATTTGAAGTTCAGCTTGTTTTGGTAAACAATCGTGGTAGAAATTCAGCATCCCCAGAAATCGTCGTAACTCTTGTATGTTTGCTGGTTTCGGGTAGTTGAGAATAGTTTCGATGCGTTCTTCAGTTGGTTTAATACCCTCGCTTGTAACTTCGTATCCCAGGTAGTTGAGTTTCTGGACACCAAACTTGCATTTTTCAGTGTTTATTCCGACACCGTACTTTGCTAGTCGTTCTAGGACTTGACGTAGGTGCATTTCATGAAGTTTTTCAGTTTTTGACCACACTAATAGGTCATCAACGAAGCAGAAGCAGCATGAGTCTAGGTCTTGTAGGACTTCGTGCATGAATCGTTGGAAAGTCTGTGGTGCATTTCGAAGTCCAAACGTCATGCGGGTGAATTCAAAAAGCCCAAATGGCGTGGTGATAGCAGTTTTCTTAATATCGTCTTCAGCCATTGGAATCCAAAAAAATGCTCTTTTCAGGTCAATTTTAGAGAAAATCTTCATGTCATGTAGCTGGTATGTGAAGTCTTGTATTCTTGGCAGCGGGTATCGATCAGGTAAAGTAACCGCGTTCAATCGACGGTAGTCGCCACATATTCGCAATGTACCGTCTTTTTTCTTCACAACATGTAGTGGGCTCGCCCAGGGACTCTTCGACGGCTGGCAAATTCCCTGTTCCATCATGGATTGGAATTCTGCCTTGGCTGCGTTGTATTTATCTGGCGGTAGCGGGCGTGGTCTGGCAAACAGCGGCGGGCCGACGGTTTCAATGTGGTGTCTAACGCCGTGTTTAGCGGGCGTTTTCATCGATGTTGGCTTGAGGACTTCAGGGTAGGCTTGAAGTATTTTGTGATATCGATGGCTTGGCTCAACCAGATGAATTGACACGTCTTGGTTTGTCTGTATCTCGACGGTGTTGACAGATAGTTCAGTTACGCTGTCAATTAACTTCTTGTGATGTAGGTCCACCAGCAGCTTATAGTGTCGTAGGAAGTCTGCACCCAAAATTGACATCTTCACATCTGCCACGATGAATGTCCACTTGAAGCTGCGTCGAAGTCCCAGGTTCAAATGAATTGTTTTATCGCCGTACGTTTTGATTGGTGTGTTGTTGGCAGCAAATAAGGCGTAGGTTGTAGACGTTATCGGTTTTCGCTTATTCTTTGTCGCTAAGACCGATATATCTGCGCCGGTGTCGACTAGAAATCGCTCTCCAGTGTTTCTTTCAGTGATGCAAAGGCGATTGTTCAGTTTAGTAACACCGACGTCCGCCACGGTCGGTGTTAACGTTAGTTTTCCGACGACGGTTTTCTAGCGCACGGAGGCTCACATTTCCTCGCTTTATCTCCAAATCGATGGTGATAAAAACATTCCCAACCGGGATCGCCAGGTTTCTTGCCATTTGTTCTAGACCTTGATCTTGAGCGTGCACGATAAGGACGGCGATAGTTTGTCCTGCTCTCACGTATCGCTGCTATCTCGAGTGTGAGCTTTTCAATTTGCTTTGACAGAAGTTCATAATGTGGGTCTCGACTTGTCGACGGTTGTGATGGTGATGAAGCAATCTCTGCGATGGTGTTACGATCTGTGTGTTCCATCATCTTGTCTGCCATGATCGCCAGTGTGTCTAGAGATGATTCAGTACTCACAGACAGTACGGCTCGAACTTGTGAGGGTAGATGTCCCATCCAAAGCACTTTCAGGGCGTCGTCGGTTACTTTCTCGCCGGCCAGGTCACGCATAACGCGCAGTAGTTGTGTTGGTTTCTGATCGCCAAGCTCTAGGCCGCTTAGAAGCTTTTGAAATTGACGGGATTCCGATTCTTCGTATACTGACAGTAATCTTCTCTTCAGCGCTGTGTACTTTCCAGTGGCGGGTGGCTTGCAGATGATGTCGCTGACTTGTTCAATATCCATTCGTTCCAGCACCGGTATAACAAGGTTGTATTTCTGGTCATCGCCGATCTTGCACGAAGAAACCACAGCTTCAAATTGCGCGAACCAAAGTTTAGGTTGAGCTCTCCAGAACGCAGGTATTCTTGATTGCAGTGAAATTGTTGACACTTCTTTCTCTTCAGAGCGCAGCGCAGTGGGTACAGCATCGCGGAATTCTTCCTCCATAGTAAANATAGTCCTTCCTGCACACCGACGGCTTCCACGCGATAATTCGGAAGCGGAGCGCATCGCTCCTAGAGCGTCTCCGCGGCAGTACAAATGGCATCCTGAGGGCATTGGCTGACAGGTGGGACTCGCCGCTGCTGGGGCGCTGGCTTAGCTTGCACGTCTCCAGTGCTATGTAAGCTTCATATTTCATTATTTGTATCTTACTAACATAGGCTAAGTGAAAATTGTTACTAACACTATTATGGACCCCGGTCTGACAATAAATTTTTTCAATTCAAAAATTCAATAGTAAATGTTTCAGTGAAGTCGGGTAAACGTCGGTTGGTCACCACTGTTGGTATTATTGCGTGTAGTGGGAGATGTTTCTTAATAAAACTTGGATTGCAGAATGGTGAAATCTTATTGTATTCGCACCCTTTATATATATTTCCTAGTACATAAAAATAATAACAATGGGTAGATTATTTACTAGACTACCTAACACAATTTTAGACTAAGTAAGACGGCTATACTAATGCTGTCCTTGTCATCGCACAAAATAATATTCAACCGCCCGCTACTCCGGAGGAATGAGTAGGACGGCATGCGCGCTGTCTCTGTCGCGCACTCGCGGCGCGGGCGCAATCAAATGTAGGTCAAATTCTTTCAGCAGTGGCACGGCGGCGAGCCGAGCGGGCGGTCGCCGCGTCTCGATGTGCGGTGTACGTGTCCCCACAACTGCATAAAATCATTTGTTAATTGCCTTAGTGTATAAGATTTACCATTGACTTTATGTAAAGACAAAATGTGTTGCAAATGATAATTAGCTATAAGAACCTTATTGTCATATCTTGATGTAACGTAAATGCGCCTATTACCGCCAGTTTAAGCTGACTTCGGATAAACGTTAGAAAATTAGATATAAGACGTGGTGATAGAAAAGACACTTTAATTTATTTATAACAATGATGAAGTAATCTTTGAATTCAAGGAGTAATAATGAGTATTCAATCACACAATAATTAATAAAGAGCGATTTAATCTGAAAAAGCAGTTGTTTCTATTACCGACCGCTAAGAATNTCCCCACAAATGAAACTTTTGTTGTAGTAAAAAAGGTACTTTTGTATAAAGAAAATCTTAAAAGCTCTTATGAAGACCGTTTAAATATTATTATGTTTCTCCCGAAATATTATTCATGATCCGAATGAATTTACTGCCAAATAGTTTCCCGACTAAAGCGAGTAAGCAGTTGAACGCACACCGTTTAAAATTCCCCCGGAATCCTGAGTATCCGTATAAATTACCACCAAACGCATACCACACTTCATGCACTCGCATCCATAAAGCGGTAGCATGTTGCCAAAATGATTGTTTTTACAAGCTTTATATTGACATCACTTGTTAGTATGTGTGGGACAAATCTTGCAACTGAAATTAAGACCAGTTCTCCTCAACCGATTAAGCTGAAATTAGGTATACTTATGTAAGTACGATGACAATGCAATGTTATGGTACCATTGAGCTGGTCTGATGATGGAGTCAGGAGGTGGCCATAGGAACTCCTAAACGAAACGGCGGAAACTTATCGAGTTTGAGTTCGTTAGATTCGTCCTTCCGAGCACTTTGGTGCTAAATGATGACCAGGGCCCAGATTAACATACATCATACAACTAAAAAGTGTAAAATAAAATTATAATAAAAAAAAACTTTTTTAAAAACAAGCTTTATTCTGAAATGCAGTTGTACTGAAACGAAAAAAATAATTGTATGCAATATTCAAATAATTTCGAAAGCTTGTAGCGCAAACAGATAAAAGAAAAATAAATTCCATGCGCGATACAAGCTTTCGAAATTATTTGAATATTGCATACAATTGTTTTTTTCGTTTCAGTACAACTGCATTTCAGAATAAAGCTTGTTTTTAAAAAAGTTTTTTTTTTATTATAATTTTATATATNCCGGAATCCTGAGTATCCGTATAAATTACCACCAAACGCATACCACACTTCATGCACTCGCATCCATAAAGCGGTAGCATGTTGCCAAAATGATTGTTTTTACAAGCTTTATATTGACATCACTTGTTAGTATGTGTGGGACAAATCTTGCAACTGAAATTAAGACCAGTTCTCCTCAACCGATTAAGCTGAAATTAGGTATACTTATGTAAGTACGATGACAATGCAATGTTATGGTACCATTGAGCTGGTCTGATGATGGAGTCAGGAGGTGGCCATAGGAACTCCTAAACGAAACGGCGGAAACTTATCGAGTTTGAGTTCGTTAGATTCGTCCTTCCGAGCACTTTGGTGCTAAATGATGACCAGGGCCCAGATTAACATACATCATACAACTAAAAAGTGTAAAATAAAATTATAATAAAAAAAAACTTTTTTAAAAACAAGCTTTATTCTGAAATGCAGTTGTACTGAAACGAAAAAAATAATTGTATGCAATATTCAAATAATTTCGAAAGCTTGTAGCGCAAACAGATAAAAGAAAAATAAATTCCATGCGCGATACAAGCTTTCGAAATTATTTGAATATTGCATACAATTGTTTTTTTCGTTTCAGTACAACTGCATTTCAGAATAAAGCTTGTTTTTAAAAAAGTTTTTTTTTTATTATAATTTTATATATCTATGAAAATGTACATCTTGAAGGCAGTTTATTACATGAGAGCTACTGCATCTTCATTGCGGTATGCGCGAGTTTGATGGAGAATGCTGGCTGGTGGCCAAGAGCGATTTTTCTATGCGAATCCAAAACAAACAGGTATTTTGACAACGGGCTTGTTGGTACAATTGTTGCACGTGCAGCTTGTGTTTATGAGTAACGTTTATAGAGCTGTAGAGTCAAATTCAAATTCTTTATTAGTATTAGTACTCACTCTTCTGAAAATCAGAAAGTCAGATCGAATCAGAAATGAGGAGATCCGTAAACGAACTTAAGTCGCTGACATAGCATGACGAATTAACAAGCTGAAGTGGCACATAGTACGCAGAACTGACGGCCGATGGGGCAGGAAGCTTCTAGAGTATCGGAAAACGCAGCATGGGACGCCAATCCACAAGGTGGACCGACGACATCATAAAGGTAGCAGGATGCGCTGGATGCAGGCCGCTACCAATCCATCATTATGGAAATCATTGGGGGAGGATATTCACAGCAGTGGACGTTCTATGCATGAAATGATGATTTCTACAGAAATTCATCCCTTTCACTAAGGGCTGAATTTCGTCGTTCGTAAATGACATCCACTGCTGGACAAAGGCCTCCTCCAAGGCACATAGCTCGTAGAGACGATGGCCGTTGGGGCAGAAAAGTTCTCGAGTGGCGACCACGGGCTGGAAGACGTAGCGTGGGCAGGCCTCCTACTAGGTGGACCGACGATCTGGTAAAGGTCGCGGGAAGAGCCTGGATGCGGTCAGCGCAGGACCGTGCATTGTTGTACCATACTGACATAGAAAACTTTCACGTTTGGAATATTAGTACGGATTCTCTCACGACGCAATAATCCAAAAAACTAAATTTTACGCAGCAACGGAATTTCTGCAAAAAATCCACGATCAAATCGTAGAAGGTAGAAGGTTCGTCTTCAACAATAATAAACTCAGAGCTATAGCTTTGTCTAAAAGCCAATGAACATTTAGTTTTTTGTATGCGATCCCGCACGCGAGACGAGATGTTATTTGCTGTTTTTTAAGACTAACAACAAAAATAGGTGCAGTAAGACCACTAATAAAAATATGGACTATTTACACTTCTTATTCCCACCGCTGCAACTCCTGCCAGGATCTACAGCTTGACCGCCAATAAAAAGTCGACCAGTGAAGGTCAAGTTTGTCCCGGGGGAAAGTTCAGCTATTATAACCTCCTCCTTTTTTGAAGTCGGTTAAAAAGTAATATATTTTCTGCAAAAGAGTTTTAAAGTTATTTTACACCTGGTATTACTTTAAACCTGCTATTGTTCGGGACAAAAAATGGGCCAGTGCTGAGAAGAAGCAACGCAAGTGCTTCTTTATTTTATTTAATCACTGAGTCCACCAGGACAATTGTCCATTTTCAGGTCTTTACAAATGATGGTCTACTTAATTCAAAATTGTTTCATAACCTGTGATAAGGATAGAATTCATATTAGGAAGTCGCTATCGTTTTGCTTTTAAAATGTAGTTATTTATGTGAGTGTCCTCAATCAATCTACACTGTGACTGAGTAATGGCCACTGTTTCAAAGATTCGTGAAAAAATAATTCTTAATTCAACGTCACAAGGTCTATAATCCAATTAGCAATTCTCCGAGACTAGGTGCATCAGTGCAGCACTGAGTCACGCGGTCAAGAAAAATAGAATTCAGCGTTTGTATATTTTTGCATCCAACCGTCGTTTTAGTGACGCTAAGAATAGCGCGGCTAATTTGTGAGGAGGTGTGGTGCTTTGTGATGATTTTATTTGCGAGTGCTAAAGGATTCGCCACACTGGATGTGTTCTGCGTACCGGAAAACGCAGCGTGGGACGTCCACCAACAAGGTGGACCGATGACATCATAAAGGTAGCAGGAAGGCGCTGGACGCAGGCCGCTACCAATCGATCAACAGGGAAATCATTGGGGGAGGCATATTTGTCCTATGGCTGAAATTGCTGCTATGTTCAGCAGTGGACGTCCTATGTCTGAAATGATGATGATGATGCGTTCTGCGGGCAGAGTTTAGTTCAAAGTGAACGCAGCCCGCATTATGTAAACAACATTATCGGTTTTAACGGTCAGCTGTCTGGGCAAGATAATCTGTCTACCTGAGAGCATGACATGACATATTATTATGCTGTGCGGTTGCCATTTTTGGTTCTAACCGTCGTATCTACTTACCCAATAGTGACTGAGTTTCTTCAAGAAACTCAGTCACTATTGGGTGTGCTGAGAATAAGCAGCACAAGAAACTTTCTTGTGCTGCTTATTCTCAGCACAGCCCATTTATTGTCCTGAAGCAGTGGTAGGGTTAATACTGGGACGTGTAAATGTGCTTTTTAAAAGCCTACTTGCATAAATAAATGAGTTTTATGGGTTTTTTACTTTTAATCTGTGTCCTTTTATGCACGTATTTTATGTACGAACCAAATAAATGTTTTTCTTTCTTTCTTTCAACGGTCGCCACCGCAAAGACCGCACGGTCAGATCGCATCAATACAAAATGTAGAGACCGACAATGTTATTCATACATAATGCGGGCTGCGTTCACTTTAAACTGAACGCTGCCCGCAGAACGGATCCAGTGTGACAAATCTTTAAAAGTGAGTCAGTCAACCTCTTTGTAGAGCTTTAGTGTACAAATCATGCTGATTTTTATTGCGTGGGACATTTTCTCGGATTTGAACCGGTAAAATTAGTGTTTTGCTTACACCCACCGATATTTGGCCTCTGTATACAGGGCGATGAACGTTTTTCTTACTAAATTTAAATGCAACTGGCATTCTTTTTGTTTCTGAATGGGGTAAACGTGGGTGGTAAAATTGTATCTCGCATTTCTCATATTGACTAAGGCTGAGTTGCAACTACTAACTTTAACGGTAACTATAACGATAACCGGTGATTTTTGTATGGGTTTGACAGATTTTTGACGTTTGTCAAAGTCAAACTAAGATGGTGCAAGCCTAAGACTAAATATCAAACACAAGCTATTATTTACTTGTGCTTGTACTAAAGTATAAGCTTGTCTTTCTGTGACAGACCAAATTTGCC